AGAGAGAGAGAGAGAGAGAGAGAGAGAGAGAGAGAGAGAGAGAGAGAGAGAGAGAGAGTTCTTCTTCTTCCTCTTCTTAAGTCCACCATCTCTTCCTCACCCTCTCGCTACCTGACTTCCCAGTATCTGCAGACTACGAAAGAGAGAGAGATTGGTGACTTTGGGATTTGACGACATTTGGATCCAGACTCGACATTGGGATTCAGACATTTACCGAGGGATTATTTGGGACTGTACCGAAGACTTGGTGTTGACGACTTCCCATCTTCCCCTCTTCTTCGTCTAGCCCCCCTCTTCTTCGTCTGTGTATAGTTGAGGACTGGCGCATTCTTCCTGTGTGAGCGCCAGGCCCCTTCACAGCATGGAATGATGATGATGTATGTTTAGTCTGCATGGCAACATTGATTGTTCGGATCATTGGTATTTAAGCCTTCCGCTGTGTTATCTTGTACTTTGTGAGAGAGGTCGGTTCTTGTTCTGGTCGGTACCGTTACGGTATGCGACACAAGGGAGGGAGGATGGAAAGAGGCTTGAAATGAGTGTGCAATGTGCATTGATTGCAAAGTGTTGCTGCAGATTACCTGCCTCAGAATCTCAAAAAACGCTGCCTGATAAGCAATTATAGCAGCCAATGCATGAGCAGTTGACTTCCATGCGGTTTCTATTTGTTCAAGGTGAGAGTCTGATGACTTTCGCAAAATGTCTTGGCCAGCTACTTCCTCATGGATGATTTGCATTCCTCCTCCTTTCTGAGCTCCACATGCATTCTCCCCTGCTGCATCATTGCCTTGACAATCCTCCACAGCTTGGTTCCTTCCTTTGTCACCAAGAGGCCTCCCTTTGCTCATCCTCTCAACTTCCTCACTCCCAATGTTTTCAGTTGGTAACTCCAATTCATGTACCCCAGCAGCAACTTTTTCACCCGATCCCCCTTTTCCGAGGTGGCCTTTGGCAGCCACAGCGTTTGGCATTGCATCCATTTTCCTGAGCCATGACAAGTCGACTGGAAATCTTGCATCTACAATGTGCCGAATGATGGCTGCAAGCGACTTTTCCAGCATAAGAACATCTTCTCTTCGCCTCGGCTGAACAGATGGAAACACAGTATGGTGCCAGAGACCTGCGCAGATAGCACCCATCATTAATGCTAAATGCAAGGATACCGGGAAGACGAAACTCAAATTGCAAGCAAATCCTGCTCTCGTGAACCAGCATTAGCTCGGTGACAAGGCACTGAGCAGAACCAACAGAGCAATGATCACCCATACAAATTATTGGCAATATTGAAGACTTTCAAAGAAGAAAACCAAGCCCCTTTGCTCCACCAATAAGCAAAAATGATAATGAAGCTCACAAACAATGACAGGCTGTTACATGCACAGATATGTGATGTTTGTAATAACCGAGGAACTGCAATGTGACGAAAAGGACTGAAATGGACAATGCGGTGAGAGTAGAATCTCGACAGACAATGTGC